ATGTTTAATCATCATCATCATCATCATCATTACAGCCCTTCACAAGTCCACTGCTGAACATAGGCCTCCCCCAAACAAAGCACGGTCCTGAGCCACCTGCATCCATCGACTTCCTGCATGTCTTACCAGATCGTCACTCCATCTCGTGGGGGGACGCCCTACCTTCGCCTACCGGTACGAGGCTGCCACTCGAGAACCTTTCTTCCCCATCGGTTGTCGGTTCTTCGAGCTATATGGCCGGCCCATTGCCACTTCAGCTTACTAATCCGTTGGGCTATGTCGGTTACTCTGGTTCTACTGCGGATATCCTCATTCCTAAGTTTATCACGCAGAGAAACTCCGAGCATAGCCCTCTCCATAGCTCGCTGAGCGACCTTGAGCTTCCTCATCCGGCCAGCAGTGAAGGACCACGTCTCAGTTCCGTATGTCATCACTGGCAACACGCACTGGGTGCTCAGTCTCGTTTTCAAGGTTTGAGGTATACCTGACGAGAAGATGTGCCGTAATTTCCCGAACGCTGCCCAACCGAGTTGAATCCGTCGATTGACCTCTCGGTCGAAGTTGGACTTACCTAGTCGGACTATTTGTCCGGTAAACATACTCGTCCACAACTTCGAGCTTAGTGTTCCCAACAACTACCGGCATAGGTGTGACATGGACATTAAACATGATCTTAGTTTTGTCCATGTTCATCTTAAGACCTATCCGTTGGGAAACACTATTGAGGTCATTGAGCATAGTGCTTAGGTCCTCCAGCGATTCTGCCATAAGGACTATATCGTCGGCAAATCGAAGGTGAGTGATGTACTCGCCATTGATGTTGATACTGTATCCTTTCCAGTCCAGAAGCTTGAAAACATCTTCCAATGCAGCGGTGAAGAGTTTCGGGGATATGACGTCACCCTGTCTTACACCTCTCTGCAATTGGATAGGTTTCGTACTCTGGTTCTGTACTCGGATAGTCATCGTAGCCCTACTGTACAAGCACTTCAACACTTCGATATACCGACAGTCAACTTGGCACCGCTGAAGGGACTGCAGCACCGCCCAAATTTCGACGGAATCAAAGGCTTTCTCATAGTCCACATACGCCAGACATAGTGGCAAATTGTACTCTTCGGACTTCTGTACAATTTGCCGAAGGGTATGTATGTGGTCTATGGTGCTAAAGCCCTTTCGGAAACCGGCTTGTTCGGGAGGCTGGAAGTTGTCAAGTCTGCGCGCAAGACGATTCGTAATGACTCTCGAAAACAGCACGTAGACGCGGCTCAGAAGGGAAATCGGTCTGTAGTTCTTCAAGAGAGCGTTGTCACCTTTCTTGAAGAACAAGACCACCGCACTGCTCCACGCCTCCGGTGTAATGCCACCATGGAGGACGGAATTAAAGAGCCTCCGAAGGACTTCAAGTACCGGTTTTCCACCCGCTTTCAGAAGCTCCGCTGTAATTCCATCCTCGCCTGTGGCCTTACCGTTTATAAGGTGCTGGAGAGCCATTCTAATCTCGCTCAGACTGACGTCCGGGATATCTTCGGAATAGTGTCGGATGAGACTCGCTCTTGGATCGTTACTCACACTTGCGTGTGGCTCCAACGATGACGTGTACAACTGCCCATAGAACCTCTCAATCTCACTCAAAATCTCAGGTGTCCCGGAAACGATGCTGCCACATTCTGTCTTCAGCTTTGACAGTTGGCTCTTTCTGGCAGACAGATCTCTGGCAAAGACTTTGGAGCCTTGGTTCCGCTCGATCGCTTCTTCAATACGAGCTGTATTGAAGTTGCGTAAGTCCCGCCGCATGCATTTGGAGATCTGTCTGTTCAGATGCCTGTATGCTGTCAAGTCTGTTGAAGAATGTAGCTTCATCTCCCGTCTAACAGCCATGAGATTAAGAGTGTGATCGGAGAGTTTTTGTGTTCTTCTGCGGCGGGTCTTGCAGAACTTAGCTCCGACCGCATGGACAGTTTCCACGAGCTTGTCATTCATATCGTCCACTTCATTGCAGTCTTCTAGGCACTGAAAACGGTTTTGTAACTCGAGCTGAAAGGTTTCGGGACTTTGGATTAGAGCACGAGGGGGACGGAGCGTTGACTTCATTAGACGAGACCTCTCCAACTTAACGTTTAGGTTCAGTGTGCCTCTAACCATTCGGTGATCGCTACCAGTTTTCACCCTCGCGATCACGGAGACATCACTGAACAGTTGTCGTCTGGTCGTCATAATGAAGTCAATCTCATTTTTTGTCGAACCGTCGGGGCTCGACCAGGTCCACTTCCTGTGGGGCCGCTTCTGGAAGAAAGAGTTCATCATAAAGAGTCCCTCTTTCTCCATGAAGTCGGCCAGCTGCTGGCCCCTTGGGTTCCGTTGCCCTATTCCAAATTTCCCTACTTTCAGCTCACCGTTCTCTCTTGTGCCTAGTTTTGCATTAAAGTCTCCCATTAACACCGTATATTGGGTTTTGGAGGAATGCATGGCTCTAGAGATACCCTCATACATTTCCACCACCTCCTCATCGGGGTGTGCCGAGGTTGGTGCGTAAACCTGTATGACCTTCAGCGAATACCGTTTGGTGATTCTGAGTATAAGGTACGCAACCCTCGTCGACACACTCCCGATCTTTACAACGTTGTTAACGAGAGACTTGTGGACGATAAATCCGACACCTCCTTGGGACAGATGCTCGCCCTCCCGATGATAGAGCAAGTTGCCGGATTCGAGGATTACCGTGTCCTCTCCCTCTCTTCGGACTTCGGATAATCCTATAATATACCAGCGCAACTTGTCCATCTCTTCTTCCGGCTCCACGATCTTCTCGTCAGTCCTCAGGGTGCGTGCGTTGTACGTTGCCAGGTCGAGTCGTCTAAGGTGGCAACCGAACCTCCACCGGAGATTCTTAGCACCCCCTGCCCCGCCGTTACCATGGTCGCCACCGTAGCCAGGAATAGCGGGGCCGCCGGGGACTGGGGGCCGTTTCTTTGTTACTGTCATTCATAGGGGGGTATTTGCCATAGTTGCCACGCTTGGCGAGCGGGTTGGCAACCGCAGTTTTTTTTTATTGTTAGTTTGTTGTTATCAAGAAGATGCTGCTGCCCATCTCCTGCCTGTTTCCCTTTGTCGCCTTTTACGACACCCACGGGAGGATATGGGGTAGTGGATATTCTTGACCGCCACTACACGGCATGTTTAATACTGACTTAGATATTATATAAGAAATTGTATTACGTACTGTTGAATAAATGGCTTTATTATTATATCGACATTATAAGGTGAACGATTTTACCTATTTTTTATTTGTAATCTACATAGGTACAATTTAAATAATTATTATTTTTGAGATGTGCTTTTTAAAATACTTCTGTGAGTATTTTTATTTTATACTCTATATACTCCAGATTCGTAGGCCGGAGTAGGGGGGTGGTGTAATTAACACTTAACAAATTTGGTTTTAATAATTTTTTGTGCTTATCATCGCATTTTATGCATTTTTACCGATTGTGCAATTATATTCAAGCAAGGTGCAGTTTTTTTATATTGCAAAAGTACCCAATTTTAATCATTTGAAGTAACATCCACGTTATAAGGTGAGCGATCTTTAACTATTTTTATTTCTAAACTATCTGGGTGCAATTTAAATAATTAATATTTTTGAGATGTGCTATTTGAAATACGTCTGTCAGTATTTTTTTATATTTATACTTAAAATTTGTAGGCTGGGTAAAGGGGGGGGGGGGGGGGAATGGAGAGGTACTTCGATTCGCTTCGTGCAACCTCGCTTTACCTCGGGCGACTTCCGATCGCTGTCGGTTTTATGCGCCCGAGTCAAAGGACTTCGCAAAGTGCCCCGAAGTTACACAAAGCGTCTCACTACACTACTCGACGTACACCAGTTATATAAGTATATTAATTTTTTTATATGATTAACGCATTGATGTATTACTGTTCACACAATTAAGAACCTATAGCAGCTGCCTCTTATACGTTATTCATGTTAAGAGTGCGGTCGGCTCAAGACGACCAAGGAACATACTACTCCGACTGAGCTCTTCGCGAAGTAGCACGAGTAGCGATCGACTTCGACAAGCACTTCGTCAAAGTTACTTCGCGAGTAGTGTAGAGGAGGCATAAGGATCGGTAGCTCCTATATATCAGCATAGTTATAGTAACTGTCCTATACAGGACAGGGTTATATATATATATATATATATATTCTGTGGTTTCTATACTCTTTCCTCGGTACACTCGGTAGATATTGGTAGACTGGGGTTTTGGCGGGAACTTGACCGGCGGTGGTTTACTGCTCCTGTATTATTGTTTAGATAATGGTTTGAAGTGGACTTTGATATGTAAAAGTGGTGCGATTTTGTGTATTAAGTGTCTGCGCATGTGAACTATTAGTGGAAACTGTGATACAAGTGCTCTGATAGTGATGTCATTCTCTAAATAAGGTGCCTGTCTGCTTAGGCGCCTTGAGATACCATCGCCAACCGTCAGATGTCTGCTGGCTCAATTTGCCGTCAAAATCTCCCAAGGGCTGCACAATGTGACGCATCAACATATTGTGAAGCAGTATACTATGAAAAATAATTATTATAATATAATATTGTAATTTCAGGCTCAGAAGGGCTAGATCCCAGAGCCTCGAATAGCATCTCTAACTGTGTGGACCATAGATAAATATATATGTAGCAAGCTAGTGTGGACCATAGATATATATATATATATGTAGCAAGCTAGTGTGGACTATGGTTCTATGCTATGGTTTTAATATACGTAGTATCCACTAAGTAGTCTGTGGTTTTAATTTGGCGGGATGGCGCGTTGGCATGTAAAATAAAGAAATAAAACGTACATATGTAGTGATGATATTAATTTATTTTAGCAATGTTAAATATAAACATGGATTTGCGAAATATTGTAATTTGCGATGTATATGTGAATAGCATGTGGTTAAAGTGCAGAAATATATTTTACGTTTGTAGTTGTAGTGGTTGAAAGGCGAAAACATGAGTGCAAAGTTTTTTATATACGCAGGCCGTCGTTGGCGCGAGTTAGAAACAGAAAGCGGACGCTTATCAGGTTGGGGTCGTGCTAAGTTTGTATTCTTACGACGCGGGCGACTGGTCGTAGCGCGTCGCTGTGCTGTACTTCGCGCGTTGCGAGCTTTGGCAACTGGCCGTGGCAATGCCGCACGAGACGGTTTGGCGTTAAGGTATGCTGCTATTGTCAAAAACCATAATTTTCTTCTAGAACGACATTTGTTTACCGTTTTAGAGTTACATACCCGTAAGGTAAAGCGAGTCTGTTTGTTCGACCGTACTTCTCGGATCTCTGGCTTGTAGACGGAATGAGTTAGGATAAGACCTGAAATTTGACTTTGTTCCGATCTGGATCTTGAATAAATAATCTCCTTCCCTTTTATATAGCCTTGAGTCTGATGAAGCTGTAAGAGCCGCATAGACTAACAGCATTAACATCACAGAATCTGTAATAATTAATAAAACAACCAAAATAGATTTGAAAATGATTAATTATCACTAATGAACGGAAAAAGAAACAAAAGAGGGGTTGTGTATAGAAGTGCACAGTTAAGTTGGACGAGTTGTACATTCTTTTTTCATACTTCTGATCTTGCTAAATTTTAAAACATAGATAACTATTATCATGGCCTTACATAACATATTATATAAAAATAATGTATCACAGAATGATATATAATGTATAGGCAAATGGTGAAGATAAATTAATGTAAAAAAAATCTAAACATTCTGATCTTATAAATTGAAAATGTGTGGTAACACATTATTTTAACTGATTTTACGGTTAAGCTACAGGCATTGGTGCTCACGTATGGAAGGGGGAGGCTTCAGGGGAAGCCCCTCCTACCTTTCTCTCCTTGCAGAAATCTATAGTTTAGGAGTAATCATTTTTTTTGTAAAATCTTAACCTCACTTTTTTTACACAGGAACATTGACACAAAGTTACTTCTGCTACGGTTTCGATGCTGCGGGAAGTGCAGCCCCCCTCGCCCTTGTGTAGCAAATTACAGGCATCCATGCTTACCTCCACAGCTTCGGCTTATTAGTCACCTTCAGTGAGCATCCTCAGCCGCTACGGCTCACTCGGGGGCCTGCAATTAGCTACAGCGGGTGGGGGCTGCTCTCCCTCTGCGCCTACGGCTTTACAAAAACACTCCAGGGGTAGGGCAGACAAGACTACGTGGATTCAGGGTGTTCTGATGCAGTTTTAGTACAGAGTCGACCTATCTTAAAACTACACAATCCAATCAAATCCAGAAACAAAGCCAAGGTCAAACCTAAGGGCAACCCAAAAAATCCAAAAACAGAACGGAAGTCGTCAAAAAAACAGGGAAACCACAGCACTAAGCACAAGAGAGAACATTCGCGTGACCACTAAAGAAACGGAATGATAATTGAAATTTGACATCATAGATAATATATTATATTTGACATTTTCGGTTGCCCAAAACATGGCCATCAACTCAACACTGTCCCGTTTCACACTTTTTACATCGGTTTTTGAGATCTAATCTCATAACACTATACAAAATTGTCATATTTGCGTTTCGTTATGTGAAATTTATTTTTATCGTAATTAATTCAAAACGCATTTCCGACATCCAAAAACAGTTTAAAAGGTTAATGCTTAGTCCTGACAAGCCTCCTAAACTGAAAACATAATTAAAATCAAGTACCGGATATCTATAGCCAACCCAATTTTACTGTGCGCAAACACATTCCTAAATAGGCATAAATGTTGTTGCCCATTAATCGCATTCAATTTGTGATAATAAAAAAAAAAGTAGAGGCCCCATTTACACATATTTTCAAAAACTTTAATAACGGTATATCATTATTTATATATTAGAACTTAAGTTGGCTACTCTTTAGAAACAACCCTGTATATGTATTATGTATGTATGTGTGTTTATTATATGATCTCTCTCTCATCAATCATAACATATATACATATTATTTAGTACTTAATTGTTATATTATTGCAGTAAATATGTACCACCTGCAGTAGCCAATGAGAAGAAAAAAGACAAAAGTCCTGCTCCTGTCTCATGCAAGGAGTGCCAACGTCATCATGAGCATGTTGTCCTCCCACAACATTGCACCCAGTGAGTTTTCACTTTTGTAATCATTAATAGTTGTACATACAATTTTTTTACATAGTAGAGCCACGCTGTGGCTATATGGTAGTAGTACTAACAGGTCGACTCAATCTGGTAATGACCATGCCCTCACAGAATTCCAGTGTGAAATGTTAGTGCGTTTCGTATGGTGAGTGTAGAGAACCGAACACCCTTATTACTGGAAATAAGTCATTCCATCTGAGTCGTCAAGGGTGACAATGCATATGCATTTTGATTCTTAATTCAGGAAAGACGTTTTGTGTCTATAGGCCACAGTATGCGTGTGCCACAGTAGGCGTACCATCCGGTAGCCTTTGTGCTTGTTTGTTCTATTTAAAAAAAATACCTAAAAGCTCACTGTAATTTCACTATACGTGAATCATGCGACCCTTGTTTTTGTAACTTAAAGTGCTGAATGACTACATGTTCAGCATTTAAGGAAAAATTGTGCGGAACTGTGCAAGGAATAAAATATTGCAATAGCAATACTTGTTCCTTGCGGGATTCGAACCCGCGGTCCTTAGCATTGTGACTCATTGCTAAGCCACTGCGCCACGGAGCCGCCTTTGCTCCTGCTTCTCAAAAATGAGAATGTGCCCTGCTCCACATAGGCCTCCCCCATAGATTGCCTCATAGGGGAGATTTTGCTGCAGTTGACACGCCCGGCGAGCGGGTTGTCGACGGCAGTTTTTTATTATTTTGAGTTGTTGTCAGGAAGATGCTGCTGCCCATCACCTTTGTGAATTTCCCTCTGTCGCCTCTTTGGATACTGTTATTTTTCACATGTGTTATAACCCCTGCAAATACATAGTAAAGCCACACTGCAGCAATATTATGCTTGTAGTACGAATGGGTCGACTCAACCACCGGCAGGACCATACTCTCACAGAATACCAGTGTAAAATAGCAGCATGTTGTTGCTGTGGTAAAATAGCAGCATGGTGTTGTTTTTTTTTCCTGAATGTGTATGCTGTTGGCCCTGCGGCCTTGATAGTATCATCTAATTAGGTTTGTAAGTGAGTACTTACGAACTATTGAGTGCAACGATTCTGTCGTCGGCGAGGCACTTCGCCGACTGCAGTCCCGAGGCACCCCGACCCCTGCTTTCCGAGTGAGGCTCCTCGAGCTAGGAGGGGCTCGATGCGATTCAAGGGCCCCTCAGGAGGTACGAACCTCGGCTTGAATCACTATCGCAATTTCGTTAACGCGCCGCAAAAGTTAGAAACGCCCCGTATCACGGGTGTTAAACCTCGTGTACGGAATGACGACGCATTCGCCGGCGAATGCGGTGTGCCCTAGTATTCTGTACTAGAGTAGTGTCTGAGTGCGTGTGAGTGTTTATGGTTACTAAACTAGTTCCCTTTCCTGTGGAGGGGGGGACGGAATCGACCTATTCATGGAAGTGATTTCGTCTTCGGGATCAAAAAAAACGTTCTTGGGACGTCTCCTGTGGGGGGCAACATCCCTCAGTGGGGAGTACGAGCCCGCCTCATTTACCAACGGATTTTCGTGTTCCTTTATCGAATCGAAGTATCTTAAGGATAGTTCCTTAAGATACGTGTATATAGTGGGCATATCGAGGTCGCGGTGAAAATCCGCATTCCTCACATAGAAGGCAGCTCCTGTGATCTGACGCAGGAATTTGTTTTGAACAACTTGAAGTTGTTTTAGACTCGTTTTGGAGGCGTAAGCAAAGGACACACCAGCATATGTCATAATAGGACGTACACAGGATTTGTAGAGATGCTTTGCTCTTATCGGGGTTCAGTTCGATTCTCCATTTTCTGCACCAATCGCCTAGTGCCTTTGCTGCAGCTTGGAGTCGACTGTAGAGTATAAGATGGTAGTATCATCCGCGTATAGTGCGAGATGACTACCTGTTAACAAAGGGATGTCACTTGTGTAAAGTGAGTATAGGGTCGGGGAGAGTACCGAGCCCTGGGGAACTCCTGCTCTGATTGATCTGGAAGAGGAGAATGTACCCTCCACGCGAAAACCAAAGGATCTATTTGCAAGAAAATCTTGAAACGATTTTGACAAGTCTTAAGGGCCCTCTGTATGGATAAGTTTGAAAACTAGTTCGTTGTGCCAGACTTTGTCGAAGGCCTTGGCCACATCGAAGAACACTGCTCCTGTCTAAACAGGGCGCCTGTTCGCCTTTGCGGCCTGATCTAAAATGTGCTCCGTGAGGCGGTGCACCTGTTGAACACTAGAGTGTTTGGCTCGAAAGCCAAACTGCTCGTTAGGAATTAGATTTTTACTTAGCACTGCATCCTTCAGACGGCTGAGGATGATGCGCTCATAGATTTTCCCCATGGCACTGAGGAGACTGATGGGCCTATAGCTAGATGCCCTATCTCTAGGTTTGTTCGGTTTGTGAATACCGATTACTTCTGCTTCTTTCCATACTTCTGGAAAGGTGCAGAGGAACAATAAGACATTGAAAATAGCCAGTAGAAGGCAGATCAACTTTGGAGGAAGGGCTTTAAAGACTTTGTTATTAATACCGTCAGCGCCTGGCGCTTTTCGAGGTTTGAGATTTTTGATGATGGTTTTCACCTCATCAAAAGTAACGGGAGGGAGTGGATCATCCGTTGGTGGTGTGGCGGACAGATCAGCCGCTTCCTCGTCCACCTTGTTCAGGTGGACGGGGTCGATTGGCAGGGTGCTTGGAGAGCATTGGCTCTCGATGCTATCTGCCATGCACTCGGCCTTCTCCGAGTCATTGAACGCTAACTGACCATCAGATCTAACTAATGGGGGCATCGTAGCGACATGTGGTGAGTGTAGAGTACCAGGTACCCTTTATACCAGAAATGAGGTATTCCGTTTTAGTCCTCAGGGGTGACAAGGTATCTATATTTTGATTCTTAATCAAGGATAAAGGAGCACACAGTCCATCTGTTGGTAAGTGGATGCTGTGGCCCATAGACATCTACATTAATCCTCGATTTAGAATCAATATGCACATAATAAATAATAATAATATATAAATAAATAACTTTTATTTCGGTTTTAAAAAGTACATGCCTTAAAAACTAGTAGATTGGAACCTCCATTTATACATCGTATCCATACATCGTCCAGTGGAAAGGGTCACCGGTTCTCTACACTCACTGATCTGAGATATCTTTATATATCTGGCTTTTTCTTTCAGGTGTATGAACAATGCGAGATTTGATAGGCTAGTAAATCTTAACACAAGTACAGTGGGGACTCAATGTGTAGCAACAGCAAACGCCAGCGTGCAAGTCACGCAGTCTCCCACCAACCGCCGTCAATCAGTGAACAGCAGTGATGATAAAATGGCACTATCAAGAATTGCATCACTACCCAAAAGAAATAAAAGAGGCAAATTTGTAAAAACACAATCGCACTTAAACAAAAAATCTGCAGACACCACAAGATTCACAGAAAATACTTTAGAAGTACAAACGAACAAACCCACGATCACCCATAGCAAACAGCAAAGCGTTGATATTCCTCAGAACAAAAGTTTGATCAATAAAAAACGCAAACGTTCACCAAGCTCTAGTAGCACATCTACTAAAGTCACTTATAGCGAAAAAGAGTCAGCGGATGCGGTTAAAGAATTAGTCATAGAGGAGAAAGACGTAGAACTTTTGCGTAGATTCCTGCTTAAGAATAATTTTGGTGTTGATGTGGAGCAATTTGACAAGAGCGAGGCTTACAAGGAGAAAGTGTTCTATAGCATCAATCCACTGGTCGTCATCGAGCGCTGCCCCCGTGTCAAGCAAATGCTTACAGAGCAGCAGAATCCGGCAAATGGAGTGTCAATCAAACAATTCATGACGGTCCTCGGGTTGCAGACTGTTGAAGAACGAAACTCACAGAAACTGAGGTACAAGACCAGATCGAGAGTTTCACAGATAATCAACTCAATGTCCCACAAAGATGTATTTATGAGTGAAAATAATAAAGAGAACGAGTCTGTTCCAAAGAAAGCTGAACATAAAGCGGAGAAGAAGCCATCTAAAGTGCTGAGAGAGGATAACGTTAGGTTGAATCATTTGAAATCAGTGTCACAAGAAATTAAGAAAGGTCCGCCTTTGAGTAGGGCTCGAATATCGAGTCCTCGAGGCGAAGCTCCCCGACCTCGTTTGTTGGCGGATAAAGTGGTGGTGGTAAGCAGTAGTAGCAGTAGCAGCAGTTCTGAAGGCAAGGCATTCCAGGCGCCGCCTTCAGCCGCGCCTTCCAGGTAAGTGAGTATTCATTCTTATTAAATTTCATAAATAATAATAATAATATTAAGGATGTTAATAATTAATCAGCTAATACCCAAATGCTTCTTAATTTTAAAATGCCGTTAAGTCTCGTGCTGTCTCTATCGCTTTAAGTCAAAGTGACGTACGTCTTAGAGCAATGCTGCAGCTATATTAGTAGTATAGTTGTAGCACAAATGGGTTGGCTCGACCAGGGAAGGACCACGCTCTCACGGAATACCAGCGTGAAATAGCAGCTTAACACTGCTGTGTTTCGTATGGTGAGTGTAGAGAATCGGAGACCCTTTTTACTGGAACAGAGGCATTCCACCTTAGTCCTCACGGGTGACAACACATCTGCATTTTGTAATCGAGGACAGATGTAGATGTATATGCAGCTGTACTGAGTGCTCGTTTATTACTCTTATTCTATACAAAAAAGTTTGTATATAATTATTTTTTTAAAATAAAATCTTGAAAATTGAAAAAAATGGTAAAATAAAGTATTTTCATGTACTTTATTGGTCTCATAAAGTATAAAGTACATTGGCCCGAAATAACGTATAATATTATAAAGTATGGGTGGCAACCCTAACTGTGTCTAAAGCAAGTAATGCAACATATGTAGGCTATAACTTTATAAATGAGTTTGTTAACGGGAACCTGACCGCCGGCGGATAGAGCTGGTCTTGTTTTATCGTATAAATACTAGTTTGAAAACGTTTTTGTTACATATAATTTAAAAATATAGTTACATTATAAGTTATAGCATAATAAAGTTACAGTGCAGAGATAGTTATTAATAAAGTTACAGTGCTGCGATAGTTATTAGCATGTGGTATCCGCCTGTAATTATTTGTACATTTTAGTTCTTATTGGTTCATTGTATTTAAATAACATGTAAGGAATGATACAAATGTTGGTGGATCAATAAATAAAATAAAATTTGTGCAACCAACTTCAATATAAATTATTAAGAATAACTAAGGGGACAATGCATGTGCATTTTGATTCTTAATCGAGGATAAATGTAGACGTCTATAGGACACAGCATCCACTTACCATCAGGTGGACTCTGTGCCCGTTTGTCACACTTACTCTATAAAAAGATGTACCAATATATTATTGATATTTAAAAGAGTGAGTGTTTGCAGGCCGACGCGTGTGAAGAGCGGCCGCGGTGGCAGCAGTGGCGGTGGCAAGGTACGAGGAGGCCGTGGCACCGGCGCCCGCGAGTACTCCGCTCTGGAGGACGCGGCTATCGTGTCGTGGATACGTACAGGGAATCGGGCGCGCCTCGTCAATGGAAACAGATTGTGGCGCGAACTGCAGTCTGAATACACCGCGCGCACAGGCACCGGTAACTAGTAATTATAACTTTTAACAAAAAGTGAAAGCCGACTTTAAAGTACTATTTATTTAAATAACATATAAGAGGGGGCAAAGGCGGCTCACCTGATGGTAAGTGATGGTAAATTCATAGGTGGCAGTCGACAACCCATGAACAAATGCAAAGCTTATAAAAGGAGTAAGCTCGTTTCAGAAGGATTCTCCTCGGTCCCTGAGTCAAAAATCGCCGATAATAAATAAATCCACGAAGAAGTCGAAGTAGTATAATTGTAGCACGAATGGGTCCCACCCTATCCTATAAAAAAAACAATTTTGCTAAGAAAATTGATTTCCTATCGATTCATTGGAAAGATTTGGGATTGGTTTAAGTTTTATTTAAATAATCGTCTATTCTATGTAGTCTTGCATAACTCTAATATTTACGATATAACAACTGGTTTGCCGCAAGGACCACATCTAGGACCCATTCTTTTTAACATATTTAAATGATCATTTTATCTACTCAAAACCTTATATTTATGCAGATGATTTAAAACCTTCTCGTAAAATGGTTGATGATTCCGACGTAGAGGACTATTGTAATCCGTTTTAAATAGACTTTCACTCTGGTTTAAAAAAAAAACTCAATGAACCTGAAATGTAAAAATATGTTGTAATAATAAGAACTTATATAATGAATAGAGACATGTTGCTTGTTCTAGATGTTTAATTATACTGCTCACTTATTCTACACTTAATACTAACATATATTGGCGGGGGTGACAGGGACAGGGAGGCTACAGGCACTACATGTGTAAATGTTTCCATATTAAATTTTGTCGTAATCGTAACTTAAGAACTTGCTTTACATAATAGATGATTATATTTTAAGCGCAGTAGATATTGTTTTCGACGTAGTGGTAATATTTGACCGCAAATTGACATTTCTTCCACATTATGATATGATTATATTACCAAGTAATCATCGAAAATGCTATAATTTATTATAAGAAACTGTAAATTATTTCAAAGTCATCAAAGAAAAAAAATGTAATGCTTTAATTTCATTAAAGCATTACATTTCATTAAATTAAAAAAATATAATATAAAAAAAAATTTCATTTCATTAAAAAAATGAAATTATTCGTAGCACTCTTGAGTATTGTAGAGTTGTGTGGGGGCCGCACGCTAGAAAGGATACAGAGTGATTCTTTTGGCACCTGGCGTACTCTGGAATAGCACGAAGGGGCTTCTCTTATTGTTACAGGCTAAAAACTTTTAATATGGACTCTCTTGAAAATTGTAGAGCTATTATTTTTAAATTTTAAGAAGTCAAATACACTGTCCCCAACCTCTAAGCTACTTTAAGTTTAGGGTGTCCAGTACACTCCCGCTCGCGCCCATTCCACCATTTGCCGCTCGCGCCCATTCCACCATTTGCCGCTCGCGCCCATTCCACCATTTGCCGCTCGCGCCCATTCCACCATTTGCCGCTCGCGCCCATTCCACCATTTGCCGCTCGCGCCCATTCCACCATTTGCCGCTCGCGCCCATTCCACCATTTGCCGCTCGCATTTCATAGGACTGGTTGGTAATAACAGAACAGAATGGAATAGAATGATTTTCTATTCAATATTGATTGTTACATAATACTTATTGAAAGTCATTATTTTATTTACCACTGGTTCGGAAAATACCTCTGTCCTGGGAAGAACCAGCAAGAAACCCAGCGGGACTTTTTTTTAAACATATTTCACTTAACAATAATTTTGTTTATACAATTTTTAAATGAATTTTCATAGAACCAGCATGGTGGCGATCATCTTATTCCCAGGGGTTGTTTTCATTTATGTATTCCTTGATATTATAATAACCCTTTTTGTACAGTTTTTCTTTTATATAATTTTTACACTTGTTTATTGACAAACTTTGAGTATATTCAGGAATTTTGTTGTAAAAGCGTATACATTGCCCCATAAATAAATTACTGATTCTGTGGAGTATAGTAACTGGCATTACAAGCCTATGTTTGTTCCTAGTGGTTAAGGTATGATTGTTATTCTTATTAAAGCTATTTATGTTTTTATGTACATACATTACATTTGATGCCAAAGTCAATATGTTTATTTCTTAAAAATTTTCTCTGAGGGACTGTTTACAATTTAGGTTATAAATCGCCCGAACGGCTCTCTTTTGCAAAACAAATATAGCTTCAATATCAGTCGCATTGCCCCATAGCAAAATTACATAAGACATTTTCTACGTGGTAGAGCCATGCTGCAGCTATATTAGTAGTATAGTTGTAGCACGAATGGGTCGGCTCGACCGGGGAAGGACCACGCTCTCACAGAATACCAGCGTCAAAAAGCAGCTTAACACTGCTGTGTTTCGTATGGTGAGTGTAGACAACCGGAGACCCTTTTTACTGGAATAGAGGCATTCCATCTTAGTCCTCACGGGTGACAACGCATCTGCATTTTGATTCGCAAACGAGGATAAATGTAGATGTCTATGGGCAATTGCAGCCACTTACCATCAGGTGGACTGTGTGCTCGTTTGTCACCCTATCCTATAAAAAAAAACTATGAAAGTAACTAAAATACACTAATCTAGCTGTCTCAACATCTGTGAGACTTCTAATCTTTCTTACAGCATATGCTGCAGATCTAAGTCTGCTTGCTAATTGAGATGTATGAGGGCCCATTGAAGTTTCACGTCAATAATAATACCAAGGAAAACAGTGGTATCCACAAGACTCAACTCCTCCCCATTTAAGAGCACATTGGTATTCGAATCTTTTACATTAAGTATTGTAAATTTTATGCATTTTGTCTTATTGCCGTTTAAGAGCAAATTGTTGGCGTTAAACCAATGTACTAATTTCGATAGAGCATTATTTACATCGTCATAATTAATTAACTGCCGTTTGAGTTTGAAAATTAAAGAGGTATCGTCAGCAAATAACACTATATCGTGATTGTCCCCTACAAGATCAGGTAAGTCATTAATATAGATTAAGAACAGGAATGGGCCAAGAATCGAGCCCTGAGGAACGCCCATTGATACTACCGATCCGGAGGAACATTTACCATTAATGACGACTTTTTGAGTTCTGTTACTTAAATATGAAGTAATAAGTTTAAGCGCCAAATTTTTTACACCGTAATGTTGTAGTTTCCTGATTAATGTATCATGATGAACACAATCGAAAGCCTTGGAAAGGTCACAGAAAATACCTAAGGCATCTTGTGAATTCTCCCAGGCATTAAAAATATATTTCATAAGCTCAACACCGGCGTCAGACGTCGAGCGACCCCTTGTAAAACCAAATTGATTTTTATGAAGTAATTTATTTGTATTAAAAAAAATAACAATTCGTCCAAAATTATTTTTTCAAAAATTTTACTGAGAGTTAGTAGTACAGAAATAGGTCTAAAATAGGCTTGGTCCAATGCACTACCAGATTTAAATAAAGGTATTACTTTACTATACTTCATTAAATCAGGAAACACACCAGATTCGACACTAGTATTAAAAATAATAGCTAAATGAGGTGCAATTAAATCTATTATGGACACAATCACTGTAACGAACATCCCCCACAAATCTGCAGTTTTCTTTACATCAATGGTTTTGAAGTATTTTACAATATCTTGCGGTAATACTTTTTCAAATCTTAAATTCTTTTAAACAGGTATTAACATTCTGTTTAAGTAATGACTCGGCGACAGTTGGAGAACTATTCAACAACTCTGTTGTCAAGATAGGAACATCAGTGAAATATTTCTCAAACAACGCTGCGTCTTCTTGATTTGATTTAGTCAATTCATCGTTAATTTTTAATTCATAGTTTGAGTTACGATACGATTCGCTGTTTATTATATTCTTTAAAATTCTATAAATCTTTTAAAACATCATCGTTTTTTTAATGAAAATTTCGTCATTTTTAATTTTAACTCCCCTGTAGCTAGGTTAAGTAAACTTTATAATGGGATCAGTAGTACAAATTTGAAAGTACTTGTTAGATACACTTCCAAATTAAGTTTAATAAACACCTGTATACTTATTATTATTACACATATTTAAATTACTAGTTGTTTTGCTTTAAAATATTTTGTTTTTATTTTATTTTTTTGTTAACATAATAGACAGGATATCATAAAGGTCTATTCAAAGCCTTGATACAGTTACAGTTGACGTTATTGGTGTTTGTTGATTAAATACACATTAAGCTAAGATGAAAACTTGGTTTATGTACTGATATACAAATATCTCAAAATTTAATCGTTCATAACTATTAAACCTAGTTTTGAAATATTTGCCGATAATCACAATTTTCACAATAATTAGATATTAAGACATTAGGTTTAGGTAACCTGCTCAAACCCCCCGTGTAGTGGCGGGAAAGAATACTCACTACCCCATGTCTTCCCGTGGGTGTTGTAAGAGGCGACAGAGGGAAACTGAGGCAGATGATGAGCAGCAGCATCTTTCTGTTAATAGCAAAACAGCAATAAAAAAAACTGCGGTTGCCAACCTGCTCGCCAAGCGTGGCAACTATGGCAATATACCCCCATGAGAGTAACGAAGAGACGGCCCCCAGTCCCCGGCGGCCCCGCTAGGAATAAAACGGCTGTACACAACGGTGGCTTTTCGACTTTCAAATGAACAAAAAAACATTTCTGCATTCATTTGTTAAGTTGTGACGTGGGAGATGTAAGGTTCATTATTTATTTAACTGCGGGGTTTATATTATTAAGTATGTCGCTTAGTTCGACAAAATAACGGCTCCGTGGTGTAGAGGCTTAGCAACAAGCTGCAGCGCTGAGGGCGGCATGTTCGAATCCCGCACAGAACAAGTATTTGATGGCCTACAGTCAAGTCTGGCACCTTTACCAATGGAAGTTAACTATGCCATCAGGGGTGTATTGGTACAAAATTACGATTAACACGGAAAACGTAACGTTTTTTGAGATACTTATGTCACTTTTTGGATGAAAATACCACAACTGAAAGCATTGTTTTCGATAT